CAGGTTGTACACTGTTATACAGTAACTGTTATGATGCTCAACTAATTCAGAACTTGTGCTAGAAAATCTTTTTTATTTATTAAAAAAAAGATTTCTCCAAGAGGTTGAGAGACGGGGGCTAGAGCTGCATTATTTCCCTGAACTACTAGCATCGAGCCCTAACATGGACAAAGTTATTTAATGAACAGCTGCTTTTATCAGGAAACACAGTAACAATTTAAACCTAAACATAAAAAAGTTAAACTTCAAAATGCAAAATACATATATATATACACACACATATATATATCTGTATTGTATTACAGATTGCACATAAATCAAGGATAGGCCAAATTTTGGCATTGTATTTAAGTGCATGAAGTGTAGTATAAAATCTCGCTCAGATTTTGCTCTTACTTTTCAAGTTACTCGCTCATGAATCATCTTTTCCAATTACGGTATTTTAGATTGCTAGAGTTCTACTAAGTATTTGTTTTTATTTCAGGAATATCAGCTGCAACTTACATTACACTTTAACAAAGTTGTGCAAAAACAGAAATTTAGTAATTTTTTCCCTGTTCTAATAAAAATGCTCCAAATTGATGGGGTTTTTGCTTACACTTAGCAGTTAGCATCTATGTTTAAGATACTGTTCTTTATTCTTCTTTGATCCTCCAAGAAGAATCAATATACCCGATTTTGCTTTCAAACTCTGTTTTTTGGTTTTTGTATTTTTTTGCTTTTGATTTAAGTAGTATTCTAGGAAGAAACATCAGTGATCCAACCAATTTAAGGATTAGACGAATCAGATACTCATGGTCAGTTTTAAACCAAATTAGACTTCCACAAAAAAGCTGAAGTTTCCCCAGAGTAACTTACAGAATATAGCAGTAAGCTGCATAATCCAGAAACATTCTATATTGGACAAAAAAAAAAACAAATCAATTATAGTACAGTAAGTTTGAATCACAACACCCGAAGAAAACAATTCTCCTTCTATTATTCTGTCTACAGACATGATCCTGGGATCTTGGCATTCAGCAGAGCTACAATACAGGGGGAAAGGCATCAATGCGCTGCTGGAAGGGGACAGCTACCTCCAGCTACTATGAAGCAGCTTCCAGCTTAGGCCCTTGTAAAACTGGGTCAAGAACGGTTTTGTGACCAGCAATCCCGCTGTTCTCAACCGCGAGGCGACCGCGTTTGTGTCTCGCAGGGTAAATCAGCTCTCACACATGAGCCCATATGCGTGTCGGAACGTGGACTTGACCTTCAGGGTTCATGTTCAGCGTCGTCAGGGACAAGATGCAGAATTCCCAACAAAACCGATAGCAGTTAGACGGCTACGTCCTCTTACGTGATCAAGTAACTTACATATTTTGTGTTAAAAATTCTTGTTTCATGTCGAAAAAGCAAATACTGAAATAGAAAGCTTTTAGCACAACAGATGTATTTACTTAGAGCATGCAAGGTTTGTTTTTAAAGTATTTGAGCAGCTAACAGCCCTTAAATATTTACAAGTTCAAAATGACAATCTTTATATAAGCAGTATTTTTCTAACTGCTAACAAATAATTCAGGACATGCCCCAGAATATAAACAATAAATGAATAACAAACACTGAAAGTAGTAGCAAAATACAAACAGCAAATGAAATAATGATTGCTTTTCAAATTCAGACACGTTAACACTGTTCAGTTAAAAAAATAAAAGACCCTGCTTTTTAAAAATGCATCTTTTTTTAATACACTCCTGAAAAATTCCACTTAAGCAACAAAATACAACTTCCTTTGGTTTGCCAATTTTGCTTAAGATAGCTCTTTTTCATTTGCCAGTTAAGTAAATAAGGCATACATTATCAGAGGCTCAAAAGCTTTATATGGGATCACACAGAAGTAATATGCTTCAGCCCCACTTTCCAGCACAGGAAGCAAAACAATAGCTTTCACATAAACACGCCTTTTTTCTTTCTTTTTTTTTTTTTAATATCTCATTCAAAAGATACATCCAATATGCAATGCATATCTTAGTTCTATTTGAGGGCCAAATAAAAAATATGTCCTGCTCATATGTTTAAGGTAGCTATGAAAGACAACTAGAGTCTCTCCAGCCTTTTGGAAAACATATATACATATATTTATCTGCTCTACCATTAGTTTCAGTTTTATATTGCATACAATAATCAGGTAAGACAAACATTGTTCATACCTTTTTGTAATATGGGGCTATTTACGCTTCTATAAAATATTATCTCTGTTTTTTAGACTACTACCTAGAACTCGTTTCAATAGCAGTGACACATGAATAATTGTTTCTTCACTACTTCAAACCTTTCAAGTGTCTTGTTTTTCTGAAGACATATAATGACCTTCTTAAAGCTATGTTAAATTTATTTATAAATAATTTGGTACTAGCTGATGTTCACACTATGAACATTCATTTCAACTCTCACAATAGTTTAGGACAAAGGAAGTGCTCAAGCTTTGCTTACTGTTCTGTTATGGCGGATGTCAAGAAATCTTAGGATACTATTAATCAAAAATACACTAAAATAGAAAACTTGGTAAGTATTTAGAGTTGGATTTTTAA